TGCAAAATGAGGTGCAATTAATATAGAATAAAAATTCATTATATTTAATCGTGATTAATCAAAATTAATCCACAGTAACCCTGTGATATATATATGTGTGTGTGTGTGTGTGTGTGTGTGTGTGTGTGTGTGTGTGTGTGTGTGTGTGTGTGTGTGTGTGGCACAGCACATGCTTCTTTCTTTCTTTCCGAGGAGCGTGTGTGATGCTTTTGTGTTGATTTCATGGTTATTGTTGTGTTATTGTTGTGATCGGGCTGCAGGCTGGGGGGTGGAAGTACGGCCCACCATCTGTCCTTTATTCGCACTATTGTCTTTCACACACACTACTATCACGACCTTCAACCCCTCTGTCTACAATAGGTCACCTGGACACACTCTTCAAATAAACCAACGGACAGACATTAAAGTTTAATGCTAAAAGAAAATTTGGAGTAGAGATATTTACACACAATGTGGGATTTCTTTTTAAGTGTAGAAGCAATTTTTTTACATATATGAAACTTCTAATATTTTTTTAAATTCAGGGGTAAGCAGTTGTTCAGTATTTTTAATATAATCGTGCAATTTGTTGTATCAGAGTAGATTGTGTACAAGTAAGTGTACATTTGATTGCCATCTCATCTCTTGTCTGTTTAAATTGTATTATTTGTATCTGTTCAAAGATCTGTTCAATAAGATACACGATTTCCTATAAATATATGTGTTTTAAATAAAAGTCTGCATGTTTTATGCATATACGTGTTGGCAGGAAAACGCCCAGCAGCCACTGTGTTAAAGGACAGGAAGCGGATTTTACTATTCGGCCACGATCCGAGTTTTACAAGAATCACCAAAACATAACCAGAAGTTCTTTTCAAAGTAAAAGCCGTCGTATAGAGGAATGGAATCTCCTTCCATTGTCATTGGACATGTACAACGAAATTCTGTTAACGCCACACCAACTGTTCAAGGATGAAAAATATCAATTGTATGACAGCAAGAATAAATAACAGACAAGAGGAGTATATACAAACAAGATGAATATATACAAAACTGGAAGGCATAAAATAGAGAGGCACACATTAGAGGACATGGTTGCAAAGTGCTTGAAAGTAGTGCAATGGAGAAATTGAGAAAATACCCATATGATTGTAATAGGATCTCTAAGAACAGCATTTAAATTTTGATTATTTTTCCATGTTTTTAATTTTTTTCAGTGCATGTGTTCTGTTGAGTTGTATGTTTGTAAAAGAAATACTTGCAGGAGTGATTTTTTTCTTGAGAATGGTATAAGATGTTATAATTATGATCCTAATTTATAATATAAGGGATACATCATAATAAAAAAAAGAGGTGTGAGATGCAAAGCATCCATCTGTGGGAGAATTCTGCAACAGAAAAAGGGTAGTACAAATATAACTTCTAGGAAAAGAAAGGCTTCTATTAATCCTGGTTCGAAGCAGGACAGCATGGTGGTGCAGTGGATAGCACATTTCAGATATGTGGTTGACTCTTAAAGCCAGCTGCGAGTTTGCATGCTCTCCTTGTGCCTAGCTTGTATTATCCAAGTGGTCTCATCCCAAAGCATCAAAACATGCTTTTCAGGTTAAATGATGTTTCTAGATCTATCAGCATCTAAAGGTTAAACCCTACAATGGACTGGCGACCTGTCTGTCACCCAGTGACAGCTGGTGTGGGTTCCAGCCCTTCTGCAACCCTGAATTGGATAAGTGATCAAGAAGATGGATGGATATTACAAGGCAAAGTTTTCACGCTTCTCCTTATAATATTACGGGCAGAAAAAAGCCAGTATGCTT